TTTTGTAAATTTATGTAATTATTTAGCATACCAAAAGAAAATAGATATGTACAATATAAGGATATACAATGTAAAATCAAACCTTTCAGATTATATTGGAGTTTATTAGATCAGCTAATGTGAACATATGTATTTTTTTTCTTTATTTTTTTTTCGTTTTCCGTGTTGTTGTTTTTTTCCCCATTATTTGTGTGTGTGTCTTGTATTTTATTATTTTGTGAAATAAAAATAAATAAATAAATAAAAAAAAAAGAAATCTGTTCGACTATTATAAGGTTGATTTAATATATTTTTATTTTTATAAATGTTCTTGGAAACTGCTGATACTTACATATTGCTAAATGGAGAAAGTGTTTTGCGAAGTGTCGAATTTGTGAGATAAACATGTTATAAATATCCCAAAAGTATATTGGTCAATATCACTCTGCAATTGGTGATTGTTCGTTTACTTTGACATAGTGCTCGAAAGGTGTAGAACGTCTGCTACACAAACTGAACTTGAACTTGTATTCTTTTTTGTTATATAGTTCAATGTCAAAATGTCAAAGTTTGCGTTGGCCGGGAGGTGGCTTCAGCGACTGATGAACAATGGACCGAACCTATTGAGTTTTGCGCAGCTTTTGGAATGAATGAACTGATATGCCCTAGATTTATCTCCGATCATAATGAATGAATGAATGAATGAATGAATGAACACTGTATGTGTTTTAATTGTGAAAATATTACTACTAGAGACAATTAATGGCTTCAAAACTAAAGCGAGGCGGTAATACATACAAGCACAGACCCCAAATATTGTTTAGCTTACTGCACGAAATAAACAAACGGATGTCAGACTCAGAACGGCCGCTATTAATACATTTATCTGTCGATCCAACATTTTAACTTGTGATAGAATTAGCTATTTTGTTCTTTCTACAAATATTATGTATAAGTCTTACTACGTTAGTTATATTTGCATAACGGTGACAAGTATACTAGTATCTCATTGCATTATCATTACTCATGAAACATCATACCCGAAGAGAACGCCCTCTATATACACTAGTGTATAATAAAATAGAAACAATTCGTTACTATTTCTCTTTTCAAGAAATTCAACACTTAAAATAATATTTAGGCAACATTCAGACTGAATCACAAAGTCGGTTCAAAGCCTGCCGAGTTCGATATATCAGCAGGAACACTGAGTTTTTTTCTTCTCATTTTAGTTTTATTCCTCCATCATATTTTGATAGTGAACTTTAGAATAGCACATCGATCATTGGCAATTCGACAATTGCCACAACTTTATGTGTTATGTACGTTTATACGTTTTTATTGTTGTTGTTTTTTTTTTTTTTTTTTTTTTTTGCATACCGTTGGTGATATTTTAGTAGTTTTTTTTTTTTTTGATACGGAATAATCTTGAGTCGCTGTTTTCCCCATATACTACCCACGTTATCTGAGACAAAAACCTACCAAGTATGTATGTCTATGTGATGAACGTAAAATGATTCGTTGGTTAATGTGGTTGTGGATATTACTAGCACGCAAAAAAAGGATTTATATCACCCATGCAGCCTGTTGGTCATGGCTATAATATTAATGATACCCTCGCCTTTGGCTCTGACATCATATATTGTGGTCATGATCAAAAGCCCTTAGGCAGGCAACACATCGTGATATTACCCTCACAAACATGTTTAACTCAAAGTTCAATTAAAGCATAGCTGCTTTTATTTTACACCCGCCAATGAATGGACATCGAACAAGAACACTACACACGGTAAGGTTCATTAATTTCCGGATACGGCACTGTTTATTCTACACTCTCAGAACTAGGGGGAACAACTTCTACAATTCATTTCTGCACTCCTAGAACTACATGGATACACAATCGCAACTCAGGAATTGCGGGCAAGGGTAAACTGGCAAAGTTGGGACTTCCTTTTTGTTTTACAAAAAAAATTATAATGTCATTTAGCTTTTTACATGATCGCGAAAACTAGCGTGACTTCAAAAGAAATTCCGAATGGACTCATCCGCAGGCGACCCCTGCATGGGAGTGAAACCCGGATTTGAATCACCCTGGTTATTATGCTAATTAAAAGTTGTTGACTAGCATTGCAGCGTCTCAGAGTGTTGCTGATACTCATATCTTATCTATGTTAACGTACGTAACCTTTCACTTCTGAGGTACCGGTGATTTTGAAAGACTTAAGTCGACTTGTTTTCAGTAAACATGGATGAAAGTATCGCCTTTGCACTTTGCATCTTTAAAAGGACACGTTTACTTTTACACAACCACTCATGAATAATCAATGACATCATAAATAATTAGTAGCAGTAAAATGCCACCAGATGCGTCCAGTCGGGATTTCTTTAGCGGTCAGATTAGTTTCCG